CCGTTACGCTCAAGCTCTATCTGCTCCAAAATGCCATCTACTGTGCGTTTCTGAACTGCACTGTCACTCACAATGTGGGTACGAAACAGTTCCAACCCAGTGTCCCTGCAACAAATACACAACATCAGTGTACTGTAAGTACACCGTAACAAACAGAATCATTTGAATAAACTGGGATTTTACCAGATGGAGGGGAGTAGGGAGTTCTGAAGCACATAGGTACGATCCAGGAAGAGAAAGATACTTCGGATCATAATCTATAAAGAGAAAAACAAAACAGTCCAAACATACATTCTTAAAAGGACACCTTCTTATTCCTAAAAGTTTTGATGTGCATATCAGTCAAACATCAAACTTACAGTTTGCCTGCAGTGGTCCTGCCAGCAGCGATTCATTCGCTTCAGGAAGGAAAGGTTGTCCAAAGACTCTGTGAGCTCAATGTTAAGGGAAAATCTTCCATTCACTCATGTCATTAAACCAACACTTTGAATGACCATACAGAACAGTGTCCTGTGGCCAGGCAGCATGTATAAACACTGGTTTCACTTGCTGGCTTAAAAAGATGTAGTGTTCAAGCTGTTCTTATTTATCCTTAACATGCAGAGGTTCCCATTAGAGAAGAAAAAAGAAAACTAAATCTATATTGAAAAACAAAGTCTAAAAACAGCTATAAATCAACCACTGGAGGAAATTAAATATGATTAAATAAATTAAAATGTCATATAATTGGATTGCCTATTTGGAGACAATCTGGCTAATCAGTGACTTCATGTTTTATTTATTAAACCACTGCTTTATCATACAATATGTCAAACATCTTTACACCATCTGCCAGTCACAGCCACTGCTCATCAAAGCCCCATTATGTAGGATTTGGAAATAACAGGTTTGCCACACATGTTATATGTTGACCTCTTGTGAGAAAAGACTGCAACAACACCTGAACTGTGCCAGCAGAGGCCAGACTTCCAAAAGTTGACTTTAAAGCTGCCAATGAACATACCAGCATAGTTGTATTTAACAGCCAAATAATGCAGTTTAGTTTACAGTAAATCACTGGTTTAGTACTAGTAAAGAAAGAGATCTTATGAGTTAAGACGCTTACTGTTAGGGACGTCTCTCTCTCATCATGAATTATGATTTAAAGTGCAAGAAAACCTAAACGTATATCCTATTTGTCCCAAGCTCGGTAAATGTTTCGACAATTCTGACCCGTAACTTGCATGATGTGGTTGTGCACAAAAAAGGATATTCTCTAAACTGCTGGATCTGAGCCTGCACATGATCTTCACAGACCTGCCGGAGCTGCTTGTACAGCGTCGGGGAGACTTTATACGAACACAGGTTCTCTACCGCCTTCAAGAAAGAGAGAGGGCCAGAGAAGAGGAGGAGAAACAAGAGCACAAGAGATCGATTTACAAATCTGCCTAAACACAAAAAGCAGAGAGAACACTTGTAACATGACGTCTTGGCTTAAAGGACCACGCAGGTGTTTTTCGTAATTACAATGAACTTTTTGGGGTTTAAAAAAAGAAATCAGACTGCAGGTGTTTAAACAGACGGACAGCACACCTGGTAGAGCTCTTCCAGATTGTACTTGATTGAGGTGCTGTTCTGGATGGCGCCGACCGCATCACGCAGCTTCAGCCACGTGTCCTCAGTATAGTTCTCTGCTAGTTTTGGCCTGTCTGTTACAAAAAAAAAGCAAACGATGTCAATTTAAATGTCATACACATTTCACATGTTTAACACAAACAAGATGCACATTTGGAAACCAGCGGCGTCTTTCAAAGACTTCTGTCTAATGTGAGAAGTTTCTGCAAGTCATTTATACAAAGTAATATAGGTTTAATGGTCATTACTGGGATAACCGTCAATGAACTAAGGAGCTCCTCCTACAACACACACTTTGGACCCACACGTAAGAAAGTAAATACACATTTTTCATGGCATAAGGTGCAGAAACAAATGTTGCTAACAGAACTTGACTTTGAATCTCAAATATTCAATTTCTGGTTTCTTTAACTAGTAAATAAGACATTTCTTTTTCTGATCTTTAAACTTTTTTAAAGCAAATGAAATGTTTTATTCTTATTTGAAGATCTGAAATCCTATATCATGATATAGGATATATGATATATAGTTGTCTAAGAGGATTGTATAATGGATATAAATGTCAACACATATCTGTTAAACTTACTATATATAAACTGTATGTTAACTTATAACTGAGGATTCTAGCTCTGACACCAATGTTTAATCTATTCATTTTTAATATACAACAATAATAAAAGTCCATCCCAAAACTGTAAGTGAGCTCATATAACATAACAGCCAAAAAATGTACAGTTATTACATTTCTGTGCAAAACCTTTATTAAATATACCTATATTATATCTGAAGTAGGTGACCCCCAATATGTGCAATCCTCTGTCGGGACATCCACAAGTTGTGAGGCCTTTCAAATCATCAATGCCCATATTTTAACACAATAAATGAACACATTTCCCCCGCTGGGGATCAATAAAGTATTTCTAATTCTGATTAAAATCAATGCATCAAACAAAATTGGTACTAAACCACTTGTGATGCAAGCGTGTGTGGTTACAAAAACAAGCCTCATGTGAAGCAACACAGGTCACCAGATTGTTTTCTACATCGGCTGCCAAAGCATGTACACAACCCAGAGACACACAACTTTGTGTTTGTGCGTTTTAAAAACAAAACAAAACAGCAGCATGATGTCAAAGTGTATCCCCCAGTCGTATTGAGGTGAATCGATGTGACTTAACGCTGTTAGATAACGCAGGCGACGACGATCAGTGACAGTACCTTTGAAATTTTTGATCACTAGTTTCTTTGAAGCGCCACTTTTGCTCGAGGCCACAGCGGAGGTCCTGGCCATCCCGTTGGTGTTGTGCTCCGATAGAGCAGAGAAGCTGGCTCTCTTGTCCTGTCGGGTGTCCTCTGCCATTATCAGATTAGCGCTTTGGCTTAACGCTGTATGGTTCAAGTGTTTTGCTAAGTTTAGTGTGGGATTGTGCAGTCGCCTGTTTTCTTCACTGATCGGCAACACAGCCTCTCGGTCGAAGCGGTTGTCTTTGGTCGACAGCGCGGGCGGTCGCGATGTGTTTTAAACGCATTTACAAACAAACAGTGACTGACGTCGGCTGTTAATCAGAAAGCATAACTACCGTCGGCGAAGTGAACAGACGGCTAGGTCAGCTAACAGTATGATATCTGAAACTGCAGCTCACTTTAGCTTTCCAGTTCTCGTCTTCTGCACAACACTTTACCGCTTCAGCTCTGCGGGCTACTCCATTCTTCACCGACCTACTCACAGGCTTCAGTGATTGTATCTGGAGACAGTGAACCGAAACGTGACCGCGACATAGTTAGCGTTGATATAACAGAGCCATATTATTATTATTATTATTATTATTGCTGGCTTTCTTTGCCCATGTAGCTAGCTAGCACAACAAAATGGCTTTTCTCAGACAGTTCAGTTGAACAGGTGCATCTTGGGTGAAAAGCGGCCGAGTTGCGTTCACAGACAGTTCGGATTTTTACTGTCAGTTACCGTTTCGTTCTTCTTGTTGTTGTTGTTGTTGTTGTTGTTGTTGTTGATTAGTGGACGGATGTTTTGTGTTTTTTTATTACTCTATTTATATTTAAAAAGGATCTGCTAATCTGTTCACTGCACTTTATATTTTTACTGTCAGTTACCGTTTCGTTCTTGTTGTTGTTGTTGTTGATTAGTGGACGGATATTTTGTTTTGTGTTTTTTATTACTCTTTATATATAAAGGATCTGTTAATCTGTTCACTGC